TGTTGATACATTTGTATCCCATCTTGTTGATACAGTTATATCCCGTCTTGTTGATATGGTTGTATCCTGTCCCGTTGATATGTTGTATCCCCTCGTATTGATACATTGTAGCCTATCATGTTGATATGTTGTGTCCTGCCATGTAGATGTGTTGTATCCCATTGTGTTGATATGTTGTATCCCATTATATTAATACATTGTATCCTACCATGTTGCTGTCCTACAATGTTTATTCATTCTACTGCCCCTGTCTGTCTTGATTGTGTGTAGTTCTGCACCATAAGGAATAAGTTACCAGGTACCTTATACAAGGTTTTGTTAGTGAATGTGTTTTTCTACCTTTGGGTAAAAACTGAGGAGTAGAATTACCGGGTCATAGTGTGAATGGATGTTTACCGGTGGGTGCGTCCATCACACACTCCTGTGTTTGACTTTGGGAGTCTTTTTCTATCACAGCCCCTCCTGTGCATGTGAAGTCGTATCTCAGTGTGGTTTCGATTCCCTACTGACTGTGCTTTGGTAACCTTCAAATCTGTGCTTACTGTCCATTGTGTCTCTTCTCCTAAGTGTCTAAGCCTTTTGCCCATTTAAAACAAGTGGATTATTTATCCTTTTATTATCAATTCTAAAAGTTCTTTACATATTTTGGACACAAGTCCTTTGCCATATTAATTACCAGAAGTATTTTTCCCAGTCTTCTGTGGTTGCCTATTTATTTTTTTATAACAACATTTTATTTTTTTATTTTTTATTTTTTATTTTTTTTTGAGACAGAGTCTCACTGTGTTGCCCAGGCTGGAGTGCCGTGGCATCATCTTAGCTCACAGCAACCTCAAACTCCTGGGCTCAAGGGATCCTCCTGCCTCAGCCTCCCGAGTAGCTGGGACTACAGGCATGCGCCACCATGCCCAGCTAGTTTTTTCTATATATATTTAATTGGCCAATTTCTTTCTATTTTTAGTAGAGACGGGGTCTCGCTCTTGCTCAGGCTGGTTTCGAACTCCTGAGCTCAAACAATCCGCCCGCCTCGGCCTCCCAGAGAGCTAGGATTACAGGCGTGAGCCACCGCGCCCGGCCTTATTACAACATTTTAAAGTGCAGAAAATTTTAATTTTGATGAAGTATGACTTTAAATAATCATAGATTGTTCCTGCTTCCTGGCTGGATACGTAGCTGACTTGCTCTTCTGGCAAAATACATGGCATATTAAAATCAGTATTTATGACAGTGGGTAGATTCTGTTGAGCTATTTGATTTCATGTCTTTAATGAATTTAGTTGGAGAAACATTGATGTAATCAGGGCAAGTAAATGTCTGATTGCATTATATAACATTTGCCAGTTCACACTATTTTCCTTTTTTCTTTCAGATGGGGACACCGAGGTCCGGTCTGGGAGGCGGATCTACACCGTAAGTCTGCCTCCAGAGGGGTACGTTCCCTGCGTGCCAGAGCCAGACAGCTGTACGAACTCTGAGAACATCTCCAGCAGTGATGATTCAGAAGGTAAAAAGTGGGGGAAGAAAGGTGAACATCTTTGCAGATAAATCGTCGTCTCCCATATTGTAAGTTAACTTCATCCAGATTTGTAGTCAGGGGTGCAGGTGCAGTCACCGCCCTGTACATCAGCCGTGGGATGCATAGCCAGTGGGCATGGGCACAGAATCTTGTAATGACAGGAGATGCAAAATGGGAATGTGATTATAGCCACATTTGCTAATGCTAGTGCTAGTGAAGTATGGAATTAAATACATCAAAATGTTAATGGTGGCCGGGTGCGGTGGCTCACACCTGTAATCCTAGCACTCTGGGAGGCCGAGGGGGGAGGATCGCTCGAGGTCAGGAGTTCAAGACCAGCCTGAGCAAGAGTGAGACCCTGTCTCCACTAAAAACAGGAAGAAATTAGCTGGACAACTAAAAATATATAGAAAAAAATTAGCCGGGCATGGTGGCACATGCCCATAGTCCCAGCTCCAGGAAGGCTGAGGCAGGAGGCTCTCTTAAGCCCAGGAATTTGAGGTTGCTGTGAGCTAGGCTGATGCCATGGCACTCTAGCCAGGGCAACAGAGCAATACTCTGTCTGAAAAAAAAAAAATGTTAATGGTACTTGTCTTGGTTTAGTAGAACTTGTTTTTCTTGATTTTCCAAGGTTTTCAAAATTTCTGAGATTGTATATCAATTTTGTGATCAAGGGAAGAATTTATTTTGTGTCTCTTAGGAAAAAAACCGAATTATTTTATCTGTTCTTGCTGGTGACTGTCTCACGAATGAGGGAAAACGGTTGTGGGCACAGTTCCTGGGGGCAGAAGAAATGATGCTGCAGGTTGAGTTTTACCTGAGGGTGAAATGGTGATTTTCCCATATGCTGACTTGAAAACTTCCTTTAGAGGAATTTACAATTTTCAAGTACAAGTTGTCCTCAGGTAATTTTCAACAAGTATGAACTAAGAAATTCTATACTGTAAACCTTAATTAATTTACATATCAAGAAAATGTGGTTTTCTCATACATTGATCTTTCCGGCTTCCTGATTAAAGGATCAGAAACCATCAAACCCAAAATGGGGAACCAGGCATTTAGGAAAAACTCAGTTTCCCCTCTGCTCTCACACACACATTCAACACAGAAGGCTTCTGAGACCAAGTGTGGGGTCTCTCCTGCCACCCAGCAGCGACAGTTCTGCAGTGACGGGCACCAGCGTCATCCTGGGTCCCCAAGTCTCCCAGACCCCAGTCGGGCCTCCGGAGCTTCCTGCCAGCTGGCTTCGAGTTGTGGGCCCTTCAACCCCCTCTTTGGGTTCGATTAATCTGCTGGAGCCGCTCACAGACCTCAGGACACGTTTAGTGGGTTGTCATAAAGGACAAGGGATGTCCAGGTGGGGTGTGGGGGAGGGCGAGGAGCCCGGGAACCCGTCCTCTGGGCCTGGGGCGGGGCCCAGTCAGGACCTGCAGTCGGGAAGGCCAGGGAGGTTATGGTCCTGCCTCGGGCCCCCCGGGCCTGCAGCACCCAGCGTTGGAACGGGGGCTGTGTGAGTTGTGAGATGGGTGAATCTCCTAGCACCACACTCAGGAATAATGTATTCACCTCCAAGCCCTATTGAAAATCTTTGAAACACAGTTATTAGATAAATAGATTATTTAACTAGAAAATTTAATTATGTTCTTACGAAGATAAATTACTTTGGTGAATGTAACTCACTGTGTTCTTAATGTGTTTTATAAGAAAATATGCTGGGCTTGTTCACATGCGATTGTACACAGTTGGCTGTTACATGCTAGCATTGTACACAGTTGGCTCCCCCGTCCCGCCAGGGAGTGGAGGTCAGAGCCTGGGTCGAGCAGCCGACAGCCTCTGCCGCTGACTCCCCCACCTAGTCTGGCCTCTGCCTACCCAGACACGCGGGTCCCACCTGTGTGTGTGTCCTTGTGCCCTGGGGCTGTCGCCGACGATGCTTCACCCGACCCTGCCATTGCCGTGTTCTCACCTGCCAGCGACCGGATGGCTCCTGTCTGCTTTAAACAGGGGCTCCTTCAGCTCAGTGCAACATGTCGATGCCGACTGAAGACGCTGACCCGGCTTCTCAGAGCAGCTTCGAACAATCACTCATCGGATTGAGGCTGGAGGTTGACACCGTTTAACTTTGAACACTTGTAACTCATCTCCACGTGCTTCCATTTGCTTTTCTTTTCTTTTTTTTTTTTTTTTTGAGACAGAGTCTCACTCTGTTGCCTGGAGTAGAGTGCCGTGGCGTCAGCCTAGCTCACAGCAACCTCAAACTCCTGGGCTCGAGCAATCCTACTGCCTCAGCCTCCCGAGTAGCTGGGACTACAGACATGCGCCACCATGCCCGGCTAATTTTTTCTATATAGATTTTTAGTTGTCCAAATAATTTCTTTCTATTTTTTAGTAGAGACAGGGTCTCACTCTTGCTCAGGCTGGTCTCGAACTCCTGACCTCAAACAATCCACCCGCCTCGGCCTCCCAGAGAGCTAGGATTACAGGCGTGAGCCACTGCGCCCAGCCTCCATTTGCTTCTCTACTGTCTGTTTATTGAAACATATTTTTCCCCTTGCCAACCCCATGCAGTGGCCGTGGGACGGCATTTGAAACAACAGCGGATTCGAGAGAACTGCGAGAGCCGAGGCAGGTGGCAGAGCCCAGGATGCCCTCAGGGGACAAGGGACCAAGGTGTGGGGACATCACAGGAGCCAGACAGAAGAATTTTTGAACCTTTTCAGTTGCAATTTTAAGCAAAGAAATGTGAGAACTAGAACTGGAAAAGAGGAAAGGTCAGATGTCAGTTTTTCAGAGAAGCACTTCCAGTCACTGACTTTCATTTTGAATATGCAGGGCCCGCAGATTAGTCGGGTAGTAACTTCTAGAAAGCCACAGGAGAAAAGCACTGGTTCGTTTTCGCCTTTGCTGCCGCTTCCTGCCAGCCGTGGTGCCGGTGGCTCCCCACGCGTCCCCAGTAGGACCCCGTTCTACAGGGACAGCCCCGGGGCTGATGCAGATGGGTGCCCACAGGGCCCAGGCACCGGTGCAGGTGGCAGACCCCGTGCCTGAACCCAAACTCGGCCCCTCCTGGTTGCCCGGCCTCCGAGACCGGCCTCCACCCACTGTCGGGTCCCCCACGGCAGCAGTGGCTGCGGGCCAGCCTCCGCTAGGCCAGGACTGTGCCCCTTGTCCTGGCGTCCTTGGTACCTGACCCAGCGCCTTGTGGAAAATCAAAATTTGGTGCTGATTTGCTTATTGAGTAGTTTGTCGGGACAGAGAGACCTAAATGTCAGTCGCGTGTCCCCACTGCCCTGGCCTTTGGACAGTCTCTGACATGTGCAGACCGGAAACGTCAGCCTCGCGATTTGCCAGACGGCAGAGGGTTTATAGGAAAAGGAGGTGGTGTTGTTGGACCTGAATTCCCGTCTTGGATGGCTGGACAGGCTTGGGGGCCTCCCCCTGCACGTCCCTGTCGCCTGTCACCTTTTCTCCGGGAGCTGGCACATAGCCCCCTGCACCTCATGCCCAGAGAAAGCCATCCTTGTTGGCAGGTTTTCTGTGGAAAATGCTGAATGACCTTGTTTGGCACACGCTGGCTCATCTGCCTGGCAGGAGTGCTGTTCTGCTCCGTGTCGTCTGGTCCGTAGGACTCTGCCCTGCACAAAGTCATGTAACCCATTGCTGTGGCGCTAAAGCTCCTCTGGGGCACTGGGACAATAAGTAACCTCCGAGTGTCCCCACCAGGTCATCCCTGTGTGGGTGCCGGGGCTCCAGTGACTGCTGCTGGGGACCCCAGACAGGCAGGAGCTGCCACTGGGGAACAGGTAGGAGCACATCCCTGAGCCACTATGCAAGAAACAAGTCCTGCCACTTAATTTTTAGAAGAAAATACAACGTCCCCGACACGCCTTTTCTCCCTAGGTTTTTAAGTGTTACCCGCTGGCCAGCTTGTATGTTGGTAAACTGTCGCGCTCTGCCTGAAGTCCACCTGGGGTTGTGACGAGGGACGTGGAAGACCGCCAACACTTGAGTGCCCAGCTCCAGGAAAACACTGATAACTCAGAGCACGAGGTTTGGAAATGCTCACTTCACGTCAAGTCAGACCCAAGGGAAGCTGTGTATCTCAGTTATACCAGTTATACCAGTGTCCCTCTCTATGAAAATATCAGTTTGGAATTTCATTTGCTACATTCATCTTCTATTGCAGACTAAAGACGTGGAGAGTATTTTAGTGGGGTTTTTTTGGGGGGGGCTTGTCTTTGTAAAACTGTCATTTAAAATCTTACTCCTAATTCACTGTGCAGTCACTAGCACTTACATAAAAATCCAGGTGAAATATATTCCCTTTTGAGTTCAGTGCTAGAAAAATGTGTTGGTTCTTGTGAACTGATGAACTTCTTATTCTTGGATAGATTTGTTACTCAGTGATACCCTTTTTGCTTTGGCTGCCAGGATGCTCAGACTTCAGCTTCTCATTTCTTTTTTTATTGAATTTCAGTTGTTTCCTTTGGACTCTATTTTCTCATAGTTACCTTTTTCCACTCTCAGTTGCTTAACTCATTCTTTTTAGATGAAGTCATTAAAACAGTTTTCTGAGTTATGTCATACCCTTTTTGTGGGTACACAGGGTAATCGGGACCCAGCAATTAACTCACTCTCCTAAGCCTTTTGGATGTTTGTGTTGGGCTGTGCGCATAGCCCTTGGGTGCAAAGATGGCAGAGGGGGCCCCTAGCTTCAGGGGCCCATCCTTGTGGGGAGACTCGTGTATAGGTGGTCATCGGAGAGGCTGGGGAGTCATCTAAAGCATCATTAGTAGCACTAAGGACCGTGAAGCAGGAAGCAGTACCTTCCCTCGTGTGCGAGGCACTGACCTCATAGCTCGAGTGGGTCAGGGACACAGCAGGACTGCCTGGGGGCCTCAGAGTGGGTGGCAGGAAGGACACGTGTTAGGCCAGGAGGTGCCATGTGTGCCCCTTGGTGGGGCCAGAGCTGCAGAGGAAGCCCACGG